GGCCTGAACGACGACAAAAGGCAAAAATCGCTTGCCACGGAACGTGTTAAGCGGGCTCGATACGTAAAATGTCACTGTGACTCTCAAGTTTGCCGGCCACGTTTCGCTTTCGCGAAAGACGAGTGTGCGTGTTCATTGGTCGATGAACGAAACAAATTATCGATTCCGTTGAATGCCTACCCAAGGCTTTTGCATTCGAGGGGAAAAAAGCTCTCCTGACTTCATGGTTGTGAGAGAACGTCCACGTAAGATAATTCTATTTCTCGACACGTAGAGATTTCGGATTGCAACAGGTGAAAATAATAATTCTCAGCAGATTGTTTCTCTCGTAATTTCCCTGGCGGGGAAAGCGCGGTCAGGCGACCTTGACAATTATTTATTTAACACGTTCCGTGCCGTGTGGTACACGTTAAACTTGATCTTCAGGCCACGTGTACCGCCGGTGGTACACGTTAAACTTGATCTTCAGGCCGCGTGTACCATCGGCGGTACACGTTAAACTTGATCTTCAGGCCACGTGTACCACCGGTGGTACACGTTGAACTTGATCTTCAGGCCGCGTGTACCACCGGTGGTACACGTTAAACTTGATCTTCAGGCCACGTGTACCAGCAGTGGTATACGTTAAACTTGATCTTCAGGCCACGTGTACCACCATGTATTTCCAATAATATTACTACAAGTGGTAGACGATGTGATAGCTACTCTAAACAAGAGAAGTACTTATCGATTGATGATGTAATGATTGTGTGATAATATATCAACCTTTAGTCAAAATATCAAATGGCCTGAACGCAAAAGGCAAAAATCGCTTGGCACGGAACGTGTTAATCTAACCTAAATCTAATCTAAATCTAACCTAACCTAAATCTAACCTAATATCTACGATATTCGCAAAATCTATAGTACAATATAATTTACCTAATATTATACTTAACTTAACCTAATACTAACCTAATACTATAACTTAGGTTAACACGTTCCGTGCCATGTGTACCACCGGTGGTACACGTTGAACTTGATCTTCAGAGGTCACGTGTGCCACCATATTTTTAATAATATTACCACTATTAAGTGGTACACGATGTGATAGTTACTCTAAACAAGAGAACTACTTATCGATTGATGATCTAATGAAAGATTGTGTGATAATATATCAACCTTTAGTGAAAATATCAAATGGCCTGGACAACAAAAGCAAAAATCGCTTGGCACGGAACGTGTTAAAGAAATCAACGATATAACTTACCATAGAATTGGGCATGACTATTCTCGTTTTTTTCGGGTTCTGCCAGACGTGTTATCGAATGACCAATTCCTCGATAAGTCGATGTGGTGGAAGTTGTCGAAAGTGGGTATGGTTTGCTCACTATGACACTCTGCGTTTCCATCTTATTACCAGAAACTAAACCTTGCGAGGATATGTTCCGATTGCCAGCATCTATTAATTAATGATGTGCATTTATTTTATTATTTCATAATCTTTTTATACCACGTATCATACTAACATTGGGACATTTTTTTTGAAGTGAAATTATATTCTGAAAGAACTTACCAGAGATTGGTATATGGAATCCACAGTACATCCGGGGATGAGGTGATGTTGGACCAAGATACTGCGATCCCTGCTGCGGTTTGGAAACAGCCACCAAATCGTTATCGAGCAATGTTAGAGTGAACGATGGTTGATAAGGGACAGCTGAAGTAAGGGGACGAAGAATAGTGCCTAAGGACTGCAACGGCTGCTGTTGTTTAAACAGAGCCATCATAGGTTTCGATTCAATCTGTCAGTATTGTTAAACTTTTGTAGTTTCATCTTTGAGTTTATTCGCATGTGTTTACATAGAACTGCTCCCTCAATTCAGGTTTTAACGTTGGACAGAGAAAGAGAGAAAAAGAGAGAGAGAGAGAGAGAGAGAGAGAGAGAACAGAAAGAAAGAAAAAAATAATAATACGGCAGCAAGGTAAGTAGGCACGTGCGAATAGCACTCGAGTTATGCTTAAACGTTATAGTAACTATTCATACCTTGTATTCAGACAATTGTTGAAACAATCATTCTCACGATGACAAATAATTAAAAATCGCTCGAATGTAAGAAAAAAAAAAGAAAAAAAAACAACATAATTATACTTGCATTAAAACCATTACTCGTAACTATTAGTTTTAAGCATTAAAACGAGCTCTTCGATTTTATCACTCGTACTACGCTCAAACGATGAACATGAAATTTAAGTATTCACACATGCCTGAACGAAAAGGTGTACTTTTACAAAGGATATTTCAGGTGAACGAAATATTTTAGACGTTTATTAAATTTAGTCTCGTGCGTAGAGGTTCGTTTCGTCTGGACTATTTTAGGTATGTATGTTACTATTATACACATTCAAAGAAAACACTCGCAGCTGGAATAATACTTACAGAATGTAATACCGGAGCAGCCGTAAATTTAGGTATGTTTCTCCCGTTTTCGTGAATGCTCGCTACCAAATTGCTCATGCTGTATTGGGTACTGTACTGCTGTTCATTCTTCACTGGCTCTGGTTTAACAACCTTCGGAGATATCGGCATCGTTATGAAAGCTCCGCCGGTAGGTTGGAAACCTGACACCCCAGTCGGATTGACAGGACTGTGATAAGGGTACGTGCTGGACAAAACCGAAACATTCCCTCCCTTGTCCATGGAAGTATGATGATACTTTGTTGTTGTTTCGATACCTGTTGAAGGTATTCGTGCTAGACAAACGGAGAAATTGACTTTACCACGCTATAACTACCTCGTAACTACTATGCATTACGGTTTTCAGTTAGTCGGATGTTAAAGATGCGAACCTTTTATCGGTTTAGGCCTACACGTTACTTCTTGCTTAACATTTATGGTTTCCCTCTTTTGACCACTCACTGGCGAGAACCGTGATTGCGTGTAACATTTCTTTTCGGCATCTTCGTCTTGTACGTCGTTATCGCTATCTGTCAATTTATCTTTGCATTTTAAATCTATTTCAGGTTGTGGATCTTCGCAGATCACCATTTGATCTTCGTCTGATACATTACCATCTTCGTCCTGTTTTAAATCAGATTCTGTATTTTCAACTGGCAGAGGCATTTCCATTATCCTATGAGTGTGCGACTGATTAATGACCTACAGATAAAACAGATTATTGCGAGTGTTACGTGCGGCATACGTTGAGACGTTTAAGTTTCAATTGGTTTAAGTTTGATTTGAATGAAATTTACTTCGATGGTGGGCGGCGGCGCTTCATTGTACACAGTAGTAACGGGAACGGTGATTTCGTCCGTAGCTCTAGGCGTTAATGGCACGTCGTCTGCCGGTGGTCCCATGTCCGTTTCCTCCCCGGTACTGTTCAACTTCCCTCGAGACTCGCCACCTTTGAAACTCGTCGTCGATGATTTCCGTCTATCTTTGCTACACCACTTCCAATCTGGATGCGCTTTGAAATGCGCTTCTTTCACCTCCGACGCAAGGTCATGATACTTTTGTTTCTCCTCTGGGCCTAGGGCGTACCACCACTCGCCCAGTATCTTGGACACGGTACGATTATCCTGATTTGGGTGTCTTTGATGCACGACCGCACGATGTCGTTTGGAAAATATCATAAATGCATTCATCGGTCGACGTATTCTGTCTTTAGTCTGTGAAAATTATGTCACGAATTAGAATTCTTACGCTTCCACTATATTACATTTGCAAGCAATGATATTGCTTCGAGATGAGAATATTATAACCGTTATATTTGCCATTTGCTTGCCTTGGTATGCCATTACTCACTTTAAGTGGACTCTGAGGCTCTTTGGAATGCAACGCACTAAGGGACTGGCTGCGTCTCTTGTTAGCATTCGCCTCGACTTCTGCAGGAGTTGTCGGCTCTGTCTCGAAAACATCGTCGTCTTCTTCTTCAGCGGGAGTTATAGGATCTGGACCAGGTCCAGATCCATCCTCGCCAGGTGTGCTCATGCTAATTGGAATCGGAGGCGCACTCAAAGGGGGGCTCAACGCAGATGGTGGAGGGCTCACTTCTGATTGATCTAGTACTGTTGTTTGCCAAGGAAAAGCTGCAATGAAATTTTCACGTTAGTAACGATCACTTTGGTTGTAATAACGTTGTGAAGTGAAAATACGCGTTGGTGTAAAATAAAATGTACTGTATAAATGAAATCACTGACATGTAAATTAACACTAAAGGTATAAATACAGATTCCAAATGACAGCTTCAAAGAGTATCATACTTTGAATTCCTTTAACATTTTAAGATTTAACGTAATTTCGTTTCGCACCAATCGGTTATTATTTATGAAATGAGATCCAATGAGCAAAAGTTACTACTAGTCACCCTTCCCCAACATTAAAGTAACATTGAACATGAAATGTATTATGTACGATTTGTATTCTAATTAAAGAAGAATGAGATATATTATGTGATTATATATTGTTCAAACATGACCAAAAAATTAATCAATTGCATTCGCTGTAAAATATACAATGATACATTTTGTATGCATTTCATAAGCATTCTTTTAAAACGAATGACTGTGAGACTCTATAAAACTATCATGCGTTATAAATTTATTTTATTCACAATGATGTCATAACGTCAAGTTAAGTCTTAATATATTTCAATAAATATATATATATATATATATATATATATATGAAAATAAGGTTGTACAAAAGATACAAGTTAAATTATGTCATCTATAATGTTAATTATCTATAGATTGTTATGCTACAAGTATCAATTATTATATTACAATACAAATTATTAGTAACTTATTTCAGTTGTTAACAAGAAAACTAAAATAATATCAATCTTTTTATTAATAACGTTACGACTATGCAAGAATATCCTTCAAACATAAAATTTTTGAAATACTCATTAATCAAGCAAAGCTTACATTTTTCACTTATGTAAAGAGCATGTAATCATATGTACCATTGACAACATACTTTACAACAAATGTGAAAATAGTCATACATTTTGTTTGGCAGTTAAAACTCAAACCTTTTTTCCAGTTGCGCACTGCATTGTTCAGTAATGATGGGGGATGGGGCTGGTATGCAGGAGGAACGTCATGGCTGCCATCTGTGAAAGCCTTACCGTTTAGTCAAATTCACTGATATTAAAATGAAACATAATTGAAACGTAAATGTAAGCATGCCACGAAATAAATTCACAACACACAATTGTCTGACATTTCATCGTCGGATATCAGATTTTCGCGGTAATTGCACAATGAAATTACACTTGAACAAAGTGTACAAATTAAAAGCAAACTCTTTAATGTAACGTAATGTTGCTGCTATTGAGAACGATAAAGATAAACGTTTAATAAGATAATAGACAAATGAGGATTTCAGGACAAGAGGATCATCAATAAACTTACACAGAACTCCGTTATTTTTGGAATTCTCATCCCTAGACGACTGTGTTTTAGGAATTTGTACCAAATGCGCGGGTTGTACAATCACGTGCTGGAAGACACTTGTTGGGGTAGGCGGATTCGAAGCTTCGGTAGTGGTTGTCATTACAACGCTCGTAGGTGGTGGCTGTGTTCTCTGCATATCCATGTGAGAGGATGCGTGTGTTGCTACTTTGCTTGCCTAACAATCACATATTTAGAGGCCACGATGAGAAAAGAATTATCGGTTAAAATTACATAAAATAAAAAAAAAAGCTACTCACTTGTAAAACGGACAATTTGTCGACATGGACGGACGAAACAGCAGGTGACTGTGGTGGTTGACATTGCGTTTGATGTAACGTTGCTGGAAGTTGAGCCAAGTGGTTCATTAACGCCGGCCTATATTTATCATCTTGATTATTCATGTGACCTGCTGCGGATACATCCATACTATTCTTTATCACGAGATACTTTTTCTCATGTTGATGTTGCATCACGTAGATTGGCTGATTCTGCGTTTGCGGCTGAGCGTAATCAACTGGTTGTTCTAAAGGCTTGTGCAAAAGGGTCAAGTTTTGTGGTGCTGGAGCGGCGGACAGTGACATGTGGGGTGAATGAGAAGGTTTCAATATTTGAGGATTTTGTTCCGATATCTCAGAGTGGCTGGAAAAGCCGTTGTTTGTCGTGAGCGCATGCTGAAGAATGATGCCTTGCTGTTGTTGAGCTATAGTCGTCACAACCGACGGATGTCGCGGCGGTGGACTTTGTTCCGACCATGATGAGGTTAAATTGGATCCGGGTATTCCACGGCTCACGGGAGAGATTCTTATTACGCTTGTCCCTATACTAGCAGGGACTGGGGCAGTTGGAGCTGGTCGATTCGATCTAACCACTCGATTAGGTTCAGGCTTTATCACCTGCTGCTGATACTGAGTAAGAAAAGTGGACTGAGTAGGTGAATGTTTCCATTTCGCACCAGGCGAAATTAGCGGAGTTGCGTGATGAGCAGGACTTGAAATAGGCATAAACACATTGTTTTGATTCAGTCCCAAAGGTGGTACCGGAGACTGATTGATACACGGGGATATCGAAGATTGTCCAGTTGGCGAGGAAAAGGCTGGCGTAGCTGATCTAGAACTTCCCAAGGAAACTGTACAACAAAAAAGGGCATTGTTACACACGTGTGAATTACGCGTGGCTGCGTTGCCAAGAGATTCGAAAAATGTTTGGTAAAAAATTTACCGAGCATGTTGGCAGCTTCAGTTTCGTCTTGATCAAATCGACCAGCAATTCTTCTATCTCCGTAATTTGGAGAGGTGTCGGAATCTCTAGATGTTTCCTCGCCGTCCATCTTGCCGCTAGAAATATTCTCATTTAATGCACGCAACACGTATAATATATATTGTTATACACGCCGCTAATGGCGGTTGGTCTTCTCCTTACCCAGGGAAAGTGTTGGTCGGACCTCTGAGGCAAGACCCTTTCAAATTCAGATGACGAGAACAGTATCCCCTTCGTTGGCTCTCTTTGGAACATCCTTCTTTGCTACAGCAGAGTCTGCGCCATTGTTTACCGTTGAATTTTTTCCTAACTCCACTCGGTGTAGTCACTATATCACCTTTTTTATATCTATGTGGCGTCGCCGCCTGAGATCTAGAGTTATTCAACGATCGATACGTTCGTTACGTTCCCCAATATTCAAGTTTTATTTCAAATACGATGGAATATTATTATTTCATATATAATTTGGTCGTTACCTGGGCGTGGCTGCTTGAGAACGAGGAGTTATACTGCGCTGTTCGACTAAACTACTGGTACTTCCCCGACTTTGCATGCTGCTTCTTTTACTGCTGCCTGACAACTTCGCATCTGTCAGTTGAATGTTTACGTTACTATTGGTTTTTGCTAATTTCTTGTGCTCGATAATGCCGCTTTTAATAAATATAATAATAATAATAATAATAATAATAAT